TAGTAGTGGAAACTGATTTTTCCTTTCCTTTCTTTGTGGGTAGAAGTAGTAGTAGAAGAAACTGATTTAACCCCTTTCTTTGTCTCTTTCCTTTCTTTGTGGGTAGTAGTAGTAGAAGAAACTGAATCGGGGTGGCAATTTCTCCCGATCCCCGTGGGGCCTCGCGGGGATCCCATCACGGGGATGAGGCGGGGAGGAATATTCTTCCTTGCAGGGTGGGGATGGGGGGCATTTTCTCCCTGTGAAATTTCGCGGAGAATTTTCCCCGCCCCGTAGGGAGATTCCCATCCCTGCGAAAAATTAAAAAAAAATTTAAATTCAATTTAATATTTAAAATAAAACCCAAACCTAACCCAAATCTAACCCAAACCAATTCAATAAAAATTAAATTTTACCCAACCTAACCCAACCCAATCCAACCCAAGTTACCCAACCGGCCAACCCATCCAGCCAACCCAGCAATCCATTCCAACATCCTCCTTACAAGTTCTAACCCTAATTTCATAACTTGACTTTATTCATTTCCCCCTCATTTTCTCCTCACTCACACGCAGCCACAACCCCTCACTCACTCTTGGTGTCAGTCGAACAATCAAGCTCTCAAGTCTCACATCACCTTCAACCTTCCTCTCCCCTTCTTGCTGCTACAGATCTACTACATATCTGTTGTTGGAGCTGCTACAAATATGCTGCTGGAGCTGTTACAGATCTGCTCCTGGAGCTGTTGTCAAAGCTGTTAGCTGCAGCCTGCAGATCTGCTCCTGTGCCGGACTCCCCTCTGCTTGCTGCACTGCACTGGGCCGGACCCCCTCTGCTTGCTGCACTGCACTGGGCCGGACCCCCTCTGCTTGCTGCACTGCACTGTGCCAGACCCCCTTTGCTTGCTGCACTGTATCGGACTCCCCTCATCAAGTATTCTCACATTACTTGCTATGATTTGAATATTGAGGCAATGATGGATTTCTGTATCATGTGCAGTTTTATAATATTTCAAATTCTAAGAATTTTTTTAATATTGATTTCTGGCATTGCAGTTCTCCCAACATCAAGAAAGTGTAGTTCATGTTCTAGTAACGGGTGGTGCAGGATATATTGGTTCACATGCTGCTTTACAACTTCTGAAGGATTCTTACCGTGTAACAATCGTGGTATGAATTTTTCTTTGGAATGTAACAATATTCTCCTTTAGTCATTGCAGCTTGCAGATGTTCATTCTTTTAGTTTTTGAAATGAAAGCATCTGCCTTTTTTATTTTTTTTTTTTAAATTCAGGACAATCTTTCACTGCACTGCACTGCACTATGCTGGACTCCCCTCTATGCCGGACAATCTTTTTTGGGTTGATTTTTGCTTATATTTGGAACAAGTATATTGCTTTATGTTGGATTAATTTCTATGTATATTTGGAACAACTTATGTTTGGAACATGTTGCTTTATGTTGGATTAATCTCTATTTGGAACAATTTTGTTGATTTAATTATTTGTATTAAATTAATTTTTATTTATGTTTGATGTAAAAAATATATATTTTGTTATTAATTGGTGGGGAATGGGGATCCCCGCGGGGAACGGGGACGGGGGCCAAAATTTGCCCCCCGTCAAAAATCCCCGCGGGGATCCCCGTCCTCGCCATTCGCGGGGATGGGGACGGGGAGGCACTCCCCGGCCTCGCGGGGCCCGTTGACATCCCTAAAACTGATTTAACCCCTTTTTTTTGTCTCTTTCCTTTCTTTGTGGGTGGTAGTAGTAGAAGTAGAAACTGATTTAACCCTTTTTTTGTCTGATTTAACCCTTTTTTTTTTTTCTCTTTCCTTTATGTGGGTATCATTTTCATTTTAGGGGAAAAGGACAGGCCAATTACAACAATTATAGGTTGTAAGCCTGTTATTTTCTCGTCTTGCCTTGGAGGTAAAAGTTTACTTTTAGTTCTTTATCTTATCAAGTTTGAAAATTTTAGTTTATTACTTTATATTATAATATTTTAATCATTCATCTTACTAGATTTGTAAGTTTTAACTCCTCACCTATTAAAATTAAAAAAAATAGCTCTCATTTTGTGACATTTTGTTAATTTTGTTAGCTGACTGTTAACTCTATTAATTGATTGTTAGTTGACTGTTAATTTACAAAAATCTTCTTTCAACTAATAAAGTTAACAGAACTAATATTATAATATTTCGTTAATTTTGTTAAGTGATTATTAGTTGACTGTTAGTTAATAAAAACCTACTTTCAGCTAATAGAGTTAACTGTCAATATAAAGTAAGAGTTATTTTCTTCAATTTTAAAAGGTGAAGGGTTAAAACCTATAAATTTAATAAGGTGGGGTACTAAAAGTGTCATAGTATAAGGTAATGAGTTAAAACCTTTAAATTTAGTAAGGTGATGGGCTAAAAATAAGTTTTTGCCTTGTTTGGATTGCTCTTCTAAAACTTGTTCTTTGGGTTTATCATTTGTGTCAATTTAGTTTGTTGCTCTACTCTGTATCTTTGTCATTGTCTATGGGTAACTCTTCTATAATTTATTCTCTCATATCTTGGAATTTGACTGTTACCCAACACATTAATTTGTTACCACCTCTCTTGATGATGCATTATTTACTTTTATTTGTGCCCCATTTTTGATCCATGGATGCTTCATAACGTTTCTAGATAAGGCTTCAACTGCATTCATTGAGCCTCTCCCTGTAATAGCGTTTGTTGCCCAACTTCCGGCCAAGGATGTACCCATTGTCTTATTCTGATCTAGTGAAGGTACTTTTTTCTTTTATTTTTCTTCATGCTTGTGACTGGCTTCTTTCTCGAGGCAAATTTAATTACATTTTACTTTCAAACTACCACCAGGTTAAAAAGGCCCTTAGAGGAGTGAAAGTTGAGGCAACCCACAGAGGGAATGTATGGAGAAAATTAGAAAATACTGTGTTTCAGGATTGATATCTCAACCTACCAGCGAACTAGTGTGAGTTTCAACTCTCTCTCTTAATTTCTTGTTAATGAAGAATTATTGAAGTAATTATTAGAGGCAATTTATTAGCTACAATGAAATTGCAACTAAAAGGCATACTAGTATTTTTCCTTTTTCTGAGGAAATGAAAGATTTTGATTTGTAGTGGTAATCTATACAGGTTTCCTGTGGATGATAACTCAACAATGAAGTTAGTTTGTCGAATACTTCCAGGAGATGTATGGCTTCACCATTCAGTGCACAAATTTACCTTGCTAATAGACATGTATTTGAGGTTAATTAGCCATCAAATGTGAAATCATATATTTTTATTCGTTACATGGATTGGTTTTCTTGATTTTTCCCCCCCAAATGTTTCAATGCTGCCTCTCTGGTTCATATTTTTCTTTTGTTGTGCAAGGTTAGTTCTTGTTCTTTACTAGGTTGGGTTTTTGGGAATTTGAAGTTGATATTTGACTGAGCTTAAACAAAATTGTCAAGAGCAAGGTCCAAGTCTAAAGTTTAACAGCAAATTTACAGCAAACATAAGTTTAGCAGTAAATTTACAGCAAACAAATTATTTTAATCTTTCTAGGAACCAAGACATTATTTTAATTGTCAAGAGGAAGCTTCATTTACTCATTTCTCTTTGTGTCAAGTTTGTATCTTTTACCAAAGGTTTATCTCGAATTTCAATCTAGGAATCCATGAAACAAGTGATTTAGGCTAACTTTTATATTAATTATTTTGGTGGCTTGAATATGTTAATTTCATCATTAACTTTTTTTTTTTCCAGTTTTGTTCTTCAAGATTCAATAGGATAGTTTTTCTTCTTTATGAATTATTTTGAAAAAGTTAACTTTAGATTGTTATTTTTATATTTATATAAGTAGAGTATTTTTTGTGGACATTTTAATCAATTAATTTGATAAATTAAGATATTTTTAAATTTAAGGACATTATTTTCCATGTAAACTAATTTTAGTAACTTTGAAAATTTTTAAATATTTTGAATTATAAACATTTTTACTTACGTATAAATTATGAAAATTATTTCATAGAATCTTACTCATTGCGCATTTCTTATAAAATACTGAATATAAGATAAGATTTTTATTATTTTCTCTGATCCAATTTAATCTCATCTTGTATTATAAACGTGCCCTTAAGATAAAAGCAAAAGTGATCTGCTCCATCCCATCTCTCAAGTTCAATAAAATTTTCCTCTATTCAAAACCTAAAACAGCTGTATTTAATCATTAAGTAGCTGATCTTGCCAGCTACTTGGAAGTTTGCCCTTGCAGTCAAAGTCTTAATAGTTAAAACTGCCATTGATATTGGAAGAAATATTTACATTAAGACAAAAAATAAGAAAAAAAAAAAAAGAAAAGAAAAGAAGAGAAAGGAAGGAAGATAACAGCAAGGTAAGAATGACTGGGAATTTGATAACGCCATTTAATTTTGGATAGGAATTGCATCACTCTATTCATCAATACAAAAACAGGAAATACCTTTCTGTTTCCTAAACCCATCTCTACCTACCAATTTCTAGTTCTGTGTCCGACATCGATCCTGCAACTGAGATTGATTCAACCAATTCTACACTATATCTGTTGAAGGAGTTAGAGTATTCTTCAAGATCCGCAAAAGGGTTATGGCATTTTTTAAGATCCGCAAAAGAAACACGAAATGATACATCATCATAGGTATAGCCAGCATGTGGATTGACAGCCTTGATAACCAAGTCGGCTTTCTCCTGCAGCTCCAATGCAAGTTCTAAGGTTACCTCAACTTCTCCCATTGAAGGCCGTTCATTTGGATTTGGATGAATACAACTGAGAGCGATCTCCACGAATTCTGTCAGACACACCGGTGCTATCTTCCCATTCAAAAATGGATCGATCATATCATGAACGCGGCCGTTTTTTATGCATTTAAGGATTCCGGAAATCATATTCTCTTCTTCTGCTATGCGGTCAAAGTTCTTTCTACCACACAATACTTCCAACAGAACAATACCTAGCGCGTACACATCAATTTTTACAGTTAATTCACCATGCCTCGCGTACTCTGGAGCCATATATCCCATTGTACCACGAATCCGTGACTCCGTTTTTGTCAAAGCGTTGGGCTTAGGCTTTGAGATGTTAAGGGGACCAATCTTGGACAACCCAAAATCTGAAAGCTTAGCATCCCAATTTTCGTCCAGAAGAATATTAGAAGGCTTGGCGTCGCGGTAAATTATTGTATACTTTGTACCTGTGTGAAGGTAGTGTAATCCACGCGCTGCCCCAATACATATCTCCAGCCTCCGCTTCCAAGGGAGTGGATCAGCATTCCCAAAAAGATGACCACCCAATGACCCATGGATCATATATTCATATACAAGGATCCTCTCATCCTTCTCGTGACAAAACCCAAGGAGAGAGACAAGATTCTGGTGGCGCATCTGGCAGAGTAACTCTCCCTCATTTTGGAACTCTTGAACTCCTTGTAGGGATGATCTAATGAAACGTTTAATAGCGACAACCAAGGAGCCGCCATCAATGAGGCCTTTGTACACTGGGCCAAAACCACCTTCACCGATTTTCATATGATCATCAAAGTTGTTGGTGGCTGCTTTGAGCTCAGCTAGTGAAAATTGACGACATAGTCCCTCTGAAAGTGCTGAAGGTTCTCTTCCAATTTCTTCAACTGATGTTTTCTTGAGAAATTTGAAGAAATTTTGAAGAGACATTGAGTTGTGGGTTTCTTTTTGATAAAAGTAGCAGGGAGGGAGGGCAATTCTGCATCGCATTTGGATTATGTCGGTCTTAATCCCCTTTTATTTCAGAGTTACTGAAAAGTCAACGAAATCACAAACTTTTGTCTTCTACTTAAATGAAACATCCAGGTAATTTCCGAGTAGGTAGGTACCTCCTAGTTGCTTTCTTGTTGAAAAGTCAACGAAATGGAAGTTTCTTGGAGGTTTCTTTCTTCTATCTTGCTAGTTGGTATGATTCGTATGAAAGCAATTTTCCTGCACATACTACAGAGGAATCCGTGTTGGGTCATCCCAATCCTTCTTTTCCACCTGGTAGTTTTATGTCAATGCTTGCCAGCTTCTTGGAAGATGCCCTTGCAGTCAAAGTAAAAACTGATGGCATTGATATTGGAGGAAATATAATAAAACCTGAAGATGGAAGCACTCAAGTGCAGTTTGCTTTGTGAAAGATAGGTAATTGATGGCTTACATTTCTCCCTTGGCTTTGTGAAATTCATGGAGTTTTTGTTATTTTTGTGAAATTTTGAATGCTTCCTTATTAATTGTTCAGAAAATAAGAGGGCTTTTGCTATTTTGTTAGCTTGTACCTGTCTGTCTTCAGTCAAGAAGCGAAGGCATATTTAATTGCTGATGCTGTGGTATCCTTTCTTCTGGAGAGGTTGGGTAACCTCTTGATTGATGAAACCACACTGTTATGGAGTGTACGGGATCAGGTCCAACAGATGCAAACCGAGCTAAAACGGATACAGTGCTTTCTAAAAGATGCTGACAAGAG